GTTTTTTGGAGTGTCGCACGGGTTTTTGAATGTGATTCAACACTTTGCTTCTGTGCTGCGGAATCAACAGGTTTTTGATTCACACAAACATCAAGTGACTGTTACATACATAACCGGCAGGAGGTGTATGCGCTCAACCCAAAGGTTCCACATTGTGAGACAGATGCTGTGTGGGGCACACCAAATCTGCTCTCCATCAGAGCAGTGTACATCCCCTGTGTTCTGAACAGGGGGCGGATGTGATGTCTAGGGACAGTTTTGCGTCACGGGGACCGGGACCCTCCATCCAGAGCTGATGGCTCAGACGTGGCAGAAATCTTGCGAGCAGCTGTGGACCTGTTTGCAACACGAGAGAATGCTCAATGTCAACTATGGTTCTCACTGAGCCCACGGGATGAACCACCGCTAGGGGTGGACGCGTTTGCTCACAGTCCATGGCCAAAATGCTTCTTCACTTTCCCTCACTCCCTATGATACCACAATTTCTGAACCGAGCTCAGGAGGAGGGACTGACAGCTCTTCTGTCCCGAGCGTGTGAACGCATCATGGTTCCCAGTCCTACGACATCTGCTGCGAAGGGAGGACGCTCTCCTCCAGGCGGGAGGAGCGATCAAGAGTTATCCAGAATAGGCCAGCACGTTTGGGTCTGGCCGCTGAGTGGATCCACTTAGAGAAGATGGGTCTCTCTCAAGATGTAGTGCGTACGATTCAGTTTTCACATGCTGCATCCACCACAGTGCTGTTCACATCAAGTGGACAGCCTTTCAGCGCTGCTGTACAGAGAAAGGTGTAGAGGCCACCTCATGTCCACTAGGTGGTGTACCGTCCTTTCTGCAACAGCTGATAGACAGAAATCTGGCGTTCAGCACGATTAAAACGTATGCTGCAGCCATCTCTTCCTGTCACGAAGTTTTTGGGGACAGAACAGCTTTTAATCATCCGCTGATGAAGCGTCTTTTAAAGGGTGTACAGAGAGGTGTAGAGGCCACCTCATGTCTACTAGGTGCCGTGTTGTCCTTTCTGCAGCAGCTGATGGACAGAAATTTGGTGTTCAGCACGATTGAAACGTACGCTGCAGCCATCTCTTCCCGTCACGAAGGTTTCGGAGACAGAACAGCTTTTAATCATCTGCTGATGAAGCATTTTTAAAAGGTGTACAGAGACGCAGGCCTGTTTTACGCCCACTTGCTCCACAGCGGGACTTAACGCTGGTCCTGCGAGCCCTATCTAAGTTTCATCTGAGCTACTTAATTAGGTTTCCAATTAAATTCTGTCTCTTTAAACAGTCCTGCTGCTGGCTTTTACATCCGCTAAGAGAGTGAGTGATTTATCTGCCCTCTCTGTCGCTCCGTCATGTCTTGAAATTCAGGCTGATGGCAGCTCAGCTGATCTAAGACTGAATCCAGCTTTATGCCTAAAACATCACGAGCTCTTTTAAATCAAGAACGATATCGTTGGAGGGGTTCCTTCCTCCCCCCCACCCCCCACAATCAGAAGAAGAAGCATCTTTCCATCTTCTCTGTCCTGTGCGGGCGTTGACGTGTTACATAGAGCACACAGCTGCAATGCGTCAAACTCAACATTTGTTTGTGCATTATAGGGATGCATCTGCAGGTCGCCCGTTATCCACCCAGTGCCTGTCACACTGGTTGTGTGAGGCTATTTCTGAAGTCTACTGAGTATCAGAGTTAGAGCCTCCTGTCAACCTCAGGGCGCACTCGACCAGAGGTATCGCATCTTCGACTGCTTTGCATAATGGTATGACAATGCAGGATATTTGCACTGCGGCCGCGTGGTCAACACCCTGCTCATTCATTCGCTTTTATCTGCGTGATCTGACAGTTTGTTCCATGACACATTCTGTCCTTAATGCTCTAACAGAATGAATATTATTGTTTTCATGGAACTCTGTTTAAGCTCACATCTGTCTGCATGCTTCACAGTGCGAGATGTTATCAGTCACAAGTTGTGTCTGTTATTTTGGTTCTATTGTCACTAATCAGTTCATAACTATCGTTACCAATCAGTTCATTTGATTAATAATCAGTTCACTTGTTATTATTAATCTGTTTATACTGTTCAGCCATGAATCAGTTGGTTCATGCCCCCCCCCCCCATCCCCCCCTTTTCAACATCTTCCCTCCCCGAAGAAATTTTCCAGGGCGTTCATGTTTTTCAGAACGCATAGTTACACAACATGCGTCTGTGCATGGCACACATAACTACGCAATACGTAATTATGCACATGGGGAGCTGAGTTACAAGACGTTTTTGTGGGCAAGCTTCTGTCTCATACGGAGTTCGAATGGACCCAGTGAGGCGAGGACCACATCCGCTTCGCCCTTAACCCATCAGCGACAGCCTTAAAGGGCGAAGCCTATACGAAATAGAACGTTGGTTACTACTGTAACCCCAGATTCTATGAGTATAGGCGTAGCCCTTAGAGCGTCGGGCCTCACTGGCTCCTGAATGGCTGAAGAAAACATAAAGCTATTTGGGAGCCGATTACCCGCTCTTAACGTAACTTATGCAGATCGGGTGGGGCCCACACAGGAGGTGGGCGTGGACTAAATTTTTTCAGTGTGATGCTTCGCATAACGTGATAAACCAATCAGCGACAGCCTTAAAGGGCTACGCCTATATTCATAGACTCTGGGGTTACAGTACGTAACCAACGTTTTTTTTAACCTGTTCAGAGGACCAGACTTACCTTTTTTAGATTAACCTGTACCATTTCTAATTAGAGGGGTGGAGCCAACATTTATATTTTCTATATGAAAATAAACACACACTTAACTAAATTAAATCTCTAGAAAACAAACATTTACATATTCATATACATATTATTTTACATATTACTGTTTGTATGTTGTATATGTATATATGTATAATATATATATCCTTATATATATATATATATATATATATAATAAATAATAATAAATTAATAATAATAATAAATATATATATATATATATATATATCCATGTATCCTTAAAATACATATATGTATATAATATTACTGTTTATATGTTTACATATTACTGGTCATATTACACCATATTTACACATTATTGTTCTAGAATTGCGCCGCTCAAGCTGGCTGCATGTTGGAACAGCTCTGTTACTTTCATTCTGAGATTTTGCTTTTGGAAACTTTAATTCCTCTTTTTCTGGATGTAAATCACATTTTTTGGATGGTTGTTTCCTCTGGTATTGGATGCTGTGCAGCTGGAAGGATTTTTACTGAAACTTTTTTAGTTTTGGACATTTGTTATGATGCGTAACCATGGCAACAAGGCAGTTTTCTACAACCAGCAGCTGATTAACATCTCAAAAGCTCAAATAATATCTCAACTACAGCCCCAAATCTCAAATGAGTTGAAAAGATGTTCTGTGGACGCATTCACATCTTCCTGCCAGCTGTGCTCGAGTGCCTGACCACTGAGATCCTGGAACTAGCAGGAAACACGGCTCATGACAGCGGAAGGACAGGATCGTCCCTCGGCACCTACAGTTGGCTGTCCGCAGCGACGAGGAGCTCAGCAGACTGCTGGGAGTAGTGGCCATCGCTCTGGGAGGTGCATTAGGGCGGTCCTACAGCCTGGGGTAACCGAGAGGCCAGCCGAGTCTGGGTGGACGGATCGGATGGCATCTGCAGCCAGTTTCTTAGGATCCACTGTGGGATGGACCTTTACAAGTGATCCTTCCTGTCTACAGCCATCAGCATCTATAACATCTCTTAATGAAATGAGGATAACGAGTTACAACAACAAATAATTTCCATTTTGGGATTAATAAAGTATTTTTGAATTGAATTTGGATATTCACATTCAATTTTAATTGAAAGCTAAACAACAATCTAAACCCAACCAGAATCTAAAACATCTCCCTCCCTCTCAATCAGTGTGAATTTTCCCAGTGAGGCTGATTGAAAACACCAGTTCTTTGTCAGCACTGTTCACGGGCACGCTTCCATGGTAACACAAGATCCGGTGACCTCAAAGACAAGGAGAGAGTGATGAGAACAACAAAATCTTAAAGTTAAAATTAATAAATTGATCACCAGGTTTAAACCTTTTTCCCAAATACAAACAAAAAATGCATTTATGAATTTAGTCCACTCGGAGCATAGAAAGTACCATACATAAAGACGGCACTCGTTAGTGAGGGGGTAAATCCCTCGCATTGAAAAACTGAAACCACCAGGCTGGATTAAATGGTTTTAATTTCTAAATGAATCACTCTGTTATTCAGTGTGTTTGCAAAAACAGCTTAAAGGTCTCTATCAAAAAGAATTGTCATTAGTACCATGAATATTGGGAAATAACTTCTGAGACATACTTTACAATTAAAACATGTCAGCATTTCATGTCAGTGTTTACAATAGAAAGTTAAATCTACATTTTTGTTCTATACAACTGCATCCAGCTGCACAAAGGAAGTACCACAAAACAGGCAGGAACAGAAAAATATACACGTTTTCCTGCTTTGAATTATTCTATTACAAAGAATTAGAAGCCGTCGTATTTCTATACACCTAATTAGAAAAATAAGGTGCCTTATTAAAAATGTGTTTTCTTTCTGTCAGAACAATTAGATTAATCAACTAAATCCAGTAAAAAGACATTTTCTGTGTTTGAGCTCTATAGGTCTGAGTCAAGTCTTTCACATTTAGTTTGGGTCTAATCAGTGAGGTGGGGTCGGACCCAAACTGGATCAGCAGTCACCTGTTTGTGCTCTGAAAGTATGAACCATGTGTGAAGACAAGTCAGTGTGATACCACTCCATCCAGATCAGTCTTAAGTAACTCTGCCCCCAGGGGGTTGGGGGGTGCTTCAGGGTTAGTGTTGACACTGATGCAGCACTAAACTCCTGGTCAGCTACAGAGCTGAAGCACCTTTAACTCCTGGCTCAGCAGTTCTGTTCTGCAAGTATAAGCAGGCCAATGGATAAAGGAGTCACAGATTCTGTTCATTACATAGAGGGGGTGGGGGGGGGGGGGGGGGGGGGGGTGCCGCCATCTCCCCTCCCAGCCTAAGTGCTTTATCCATTACGAGCATCTAGGGTCGGTGAAATCTGGAAAAGAGTAAAAATAAATTATTTCAATCGTTGTAAAAACAGACTTCCTGTACATCTTCATTTTTTAGATTTCTCTTGATTTCTTTAGACTATTTTTGATCCTGAAACATTTAAAACTTAACTACAAAGGCACCATTAATGCAGAGAACTATGTTCAGGTTCTAGAACAACATCATATGCTCCAATCTAGACGTCATCTCTTTCAGGGAAGACCCTGCATTTTTCAACACGATAATGCCAGACCACATTCTGCAGCAATCACAACATCATGGCTACGGATCCGGGAACTGAAATGGCCAGCCTGCAGTCCAGATCTTTCACCTATAGAGAACATTTGGCGCATCATAAAGAGGAAGGTGCGACAAAGAAGGCCCAAGACGATTGAACAGTTAGAGGCCTGTATTAGACATGAATGGGAGAGCATTCCTATTTCTAAACTTGAGAAACTGGTCTACTCTGTCCCCAGACATCTGTTGAGTGTTGTAAGAAGAAGGGGGGATGCCACACAGTGATAAAAATGGACATGTCCCAACTTTTTTGGGATTTGTTGACGCCATGAAATTTGGAAACAACAGATTTTTCCCTTAAAATGATACATTCTCTCATTTTAAACTTTTGATCTGTGATTTGTGTTCTATTCTGAATAAAATATTAGATGTTGGCACCTCCACATCATTGCATTCAGTTTTTATTCACAATTTGTTTAGTGTCCCAACTTTTTTGGAATCCGGTTTGTATAGCAAGCAAAGACCTTCTATAACAATTGACCTTGATTTGTGATCTTGAAACCGGGCTGATGAACAGATCGTGACAATCTGTCTAGTGATGATGGATAAGTGTATGAAGTTTTGTTAACTTATTTTGTGTGGATCAGAAGTTATGGGTGGGACAAGAGAAAGTTGACAAATGCACAGACGTACGAACTATACCATAATATGTCTGCCTTTCGACGGCCGTATAAAAACAAACTAATGTGTGTGTGTGTGTGTGTGGGGGGGGGGGGGGTGCAGTGTGGTGCTGTGGAGCGTCAACATGTGTCACCTATAGTTAATATTAACTTCCTGGAGTCACCTGGGCCTGATTCAGTATTGTAAACTCTTGGAACCATGGCAAGCCAAGGGAAATCCGTCGCCTCCAAGGTCGGCCGCAGTGAACCACGTGGGCCCCCGGTGCCCAAGCCAACTCCAACCCCGATGCTAATAACTGTTCGCTGGCACACATGAAGGCGCTGCTGGAGGGACTGCGCTCCGACCTCCTGAGTAAATTTGATGAAATGGTGGCTAGAACAGTGAAGAGAGAAATCATGTCTGCCCTCGCTTCGCTAGAAGCTAAAGTCGCGGCACATGGACAGACTATTGCTAATCTTGAACACGTAGCTAATGAACAGAGCGACAGGCTAACTAGCTTGGAAGCCAAAGTAACTTTGCTCACGGGCATAGTGGACTCTGTCAAAGAAATGTGAGGACCTGGAAGGGCGCTCTAGAATGAATAATGTACGAGTGATTGGTGTCCTTGAGGGATCTGAGGGCACCCGACCGATGGAGTTCATGGCCACTTTATTTATTTATTCTAGAATTGCACCGCTCAAGGTGGCTGCATGTTGGAGTAGCTCTGTTACTTTCATTCTGAGATATTACTTTGAAAACTTTAATTCCTCTTTTTTCTGGATATAAATCGCTTTTTTGGATGATTATTTCCTCTGGTGTCGGATGCTGTGCTGCTGGAAGGATTTTTACAGAAATATCTTTGCTTTTGGACATTTGTTATGATGCGTAACCATAACAACAAGGTTGGTTTTTTTGTTACAATCGGAAGCAGCTGATTAACATCTCCAAAGCTCAAATAATATCTCAACTACAGCCCCAAATCCCAAATGAGTTGAAAAAGAGGCATTGTGGATGCAGAGCAGGAGCAAAGGAGAGAAAGAGAGAAGAATGAAGTTCAAACCATCTCTTCCATCGATCATGATGGGCAATGTGAGATCAATGGGAAACAAGTTGGATGAACAACAAGGACCCATTCAGAGTATTGGGAATGCAGTGTTATGTGTTTCACTGCAACATGGCTGCAAGATCATATCCCTGATTCCAGCATTTCCTTGCCAGGCTTTCTGACCATACGAGCAGATAGAGATTTAAAGAGGAGTGGCAAAAGGAAAGGAGGTAGGTTGGCAGTGATTGTGAACAACAGATAGTGTAATCCTGGACATGTTACTTTGAAGTGTCATCTATGCAGTCCAGATATTGAACGGTTAGCACAAAGTTGTTGTCCATATAATGTGCCAAGAGAGTTCACCAGTGTTATTTTGGCAACTGTTTACATTCCACCCAATGCTGTTGCCGAGACTGCGTGTGATGTCATCAGCTCAGAGGTTGCTAAGCTACAGATACAACACCCTAGTGATAGTGCATTTGTTGCAATATCTGGTGATTTTAATCATGTCTCTCTCTCTCTGCTACACTTCTGACATTCCAACAGTTTGTCAGCTGCTCTACCAGAGAAAACAAAACGTTGGACTTGTTTTATGCAAATGTCAAGGATTCATACATTGCTAAAGCAAGGCCCCCTCTTGGCAAATCAGCTCACAATCTTGTGTTTCTCTGATCAAAATATAAACCCCTTGTTCAGAGACAACTTGCAATAAAGAGAACAGTGAGAAAATGGTCAACGGAAGCTGAAGAAGACCTGCGGGGTTGTTTTGAGGCTACAAACTGGGATGCACTGTGCCAGTCACATGGAGAGGACATCAATGCCATGACTGAGTGTGTGACCGACTATATAAACTTCTGTGTAAACAACACCATCCCCACCAGAACAGTGAGATGCTTCCCCAGTAACAAACCCTGGATGAACTTCTAAACCAGAAAAAATGAGCTTTCAGGGAGGGAGACAGGGAATTATTGAGGAGTACACAGAAGTAGGGTTGCAACAACGAATCGATAAAATCGATAAAAATCTATGATTAAAAGTGTTGGCAACATATTTCATTATCGACTCTTTGTGTCGCGCGATTAAGCGTCTTTCAGGGCGCTACAGAGCCGTTTTGTTCAGCTGTAGTGCATTGTCAATGCTGACTGATGGAATAAAGTTTGAAAAAAAAAAAAAAAACTCTGCAACGCGACTGAGTGAGGGGGAAGGCGGAAGCAGAGCAGAGGCGGTGTTTTCAAAGGAAATTAAGTACAATTTTCAAATGACCAATGCAGAGAAAACTGTTCGACTCAAGTCCTTAAAAGTGTGGGAGCACTTGATGCTTCACAAAGATATAAACTGCGCAACATGCAGCTTTGAAAAAGTAACGACATGACACGGGAGTACCACGCTGATGAAACGTAAACATGTCAGAGTCACGAGGAGGATAAAGGAGCTGAACAGCTGATACAACTCGTCTCACTTCCAACTCGTCATGTGTTGGCAGGTAAGTCTCTACAATATCCATATTCAGAAGGATTTTCAACAAACACAACATCCCAGTACATTTCAAACCCAGCAGGACTCTCAGACAGAGGCTGGTCCACCCTAAGGACAAAACACCCATACACAAACAGAGTGGTATAGTGTATGCGGTCCAGTGCAGCATGGACTGTCCAGACCTCAACATTGGAGAAACTAAACGGCCTCTTCACAGATGCATGGCTCAACACAGGAGAGCCAGCTCCACAGGACAAGACTCAGCTGTTCACCTCCACCTCACAGATAAGGGACACTCTTTTGAGGACCAAAATGTGCACATTATGGACTGAGGACACAGATGGTTTGAGAGGGGGGGTGAAAGAAGCAATTTATGTAAAAAGAGAAAAGCCGTCTCTTAACAGAGGAGGAGGCCTCAGATTTCAACTTTCAAAAACGTATATTGCAACTTTAAGACTGATTCCCAGCCAGTTTTCACACCTGATGGGAACAGAGGGGCCTCATCTGTGAATTAGAGTAACAAAGACCTTAAGAAACCCCTACTGTTAAGGTGTGAGGTGTGATTTGTCAATCTACATATGTATGTGTATCTTATCTCAGCCTTATAACCTGAACCCCTCACTCACTGCTCTTTGAATTGAGAAAGCTCCTCGGATGAGAAGCGAAACGTCTTCTGTTACAAATAAAGTCCAGTTGTTTTTGTATCGAACGTTTTCTGAAGTCATATGCAGAAATATTCAGATGACTCTGCAGTGGTCGGGTGTATCAGAGATGGACAAGAAGCTGAGTACAGGGAACTGGTGGACCGCTTTGTGGCAAGGTGTGGAAACAATCATCTCATCTTGAATGTGAACAAAACAAAGGAGATGATTGTAGATATCAGGAGAAACAGGAACAGGTCCAACACTATTTCCATCATGGGAGAAGAAGTGGAGGTGGTGGAGAAGTATAAATACCTTGGGGTTCACCTGGACAACAGATTGGACTGGAAATGCAACAGTGACGCCATCTACAAGAAGGGACAGAGCAGACTGTACTTCTTGAGGAAGCTGAAGTCCTTCAGTGTTTGCAGCAAGATGCTGCATATCTTCTATAAGTCTGTTGAGGAGAGAACTATCTCTTCTTCCATCATCTGCTGAGGTAGCAACACCAGAGCAAGTGACATAAAAAAAGATCAACAAGCTCATAAAGAAGGCTGGCTCAGTCTAGGGACTCCTCTAGAACCTTTGGAGATGATTGTACAAAGAAGGATTCTTCATAAAATGAAGAACATTATAGACATCCCTCAGCATCCTCTTCATCAGACTGTCATACAACAACAGAGTGTCTTCAGTCTGAGGCTTCTTCAGATCCATTATATGAAAGACCGCTACAAGAGATCCTTCCTGCCCACAGCCATCAGCATCTATAACAACTCTTTAATTAAACCAGAATGATGAGTTACAACAACATTTAATCTCCCTCTGGGATTAATAAAGTATTTTTGAATTGAATTTGAATTGAATTACAGAACTTGTTGGGACTGGGAAAAAAAACAATATTGGACTGGGCTCACAGAATCTGTCGGCCAAGACATGTTGATGGGGAAA